TTAACACTGAAATAAAGCTATAGAATTTTATTTTTCAAAAAATGTTAGTATATATTACCCCATTTTTAAGATTTAATTTGAGCACTAGAGATCCTGTCTCTTATACACATCTAGATGTGTATAAGAGACAGCCACCATGTTGGTTAGGAACAACATACCCTGTCTCTTATACACATCTAGATGTGTATAAGAAACAGGAATTGTTAGTTGGTGGATAACACAGGCGACGCCTTTTAACTGCACTGTTGTATCTGCTCATCTTTTTTTGTTTGTTAACTGTACTTAGTGTGTGTTTAAACACAGAGGGTACATAGTCTGGATGTGTTGGGTCATTGTGATTGGGTTTACCTGAAAGAAAAAAAATATTTATAATTTATTCAGTTTGAAATAAACTTAGGATTGGGAGGACATGTCCCATGAGGCCATTTGGCAGTACTGTCTAGTATATCTCAGTGCTTGCAGAATCACTTGCCGACGTCCCGGCAAGTGATTCTGGGCAACGGGCAACTATAATTTTAGAACTTGTGTCCCGACTGACAACCTTAAAATCAACTTAGGTCAATCATAGTAGTATAGCCTAGCCTGTAAAGTGTAGGGCCTAGGCTAGGCCTAGCCTAGCCCCAGCTAGTGCCGTGGTCTACCCCAGCAGTGAATCTGAACTCAATATGCAGTTAAAAAGCAAGACGTTGATTAAATCTAGGGGCTTACCTAGATCATAATTGAGGGTTTTACCTCCATAAAAAGGCTAAATAAAATGCAAGTTTTTCCTTACCATTAATAAAGTGTTCGCCACATATTCTAGCTGTGCTTGACGGCGTCCATTCTGTACCATCGCGATTCAGTTTCTTAAGTGCATTTGTCCATTTTTTTCTCCTTTCTGAATCTTTGGGAAATCGATGGAATGATGGTTTATTTTCCAACATAAGTGTGTGGTTTGTGCAACCTACTGCTTCGCAATTACCTGGCATCTTTTACCACAGAACCTAAAGACGATTCATAAACATAGGAATTGAATTACGCTAACTGTACACTCGCACGCTCTGTGGTGTGTTGTTTTCACTCCAGCGGAAGTTATATAGTGGTTCGTGACCTCGGGTCAAGCAAAAAACCCGGATGTCCGACCGACAGAATACATAGAACCAGAAACCATTTAACATTCATTTATTATTGCAAACAATTATTCTTATTAAATATGAAATACATAGCTAGGGCCTATAGTGACTGTTGTAAATAGACATGGTAAATGATAATATTAACCATGAGAAAAACAAGTATTTTGTTCGTAAAAAAAATAATAAATAGTGAAAATTTTCCCTCATCGAATTTTTAAAAGGTGTTGACGAGAAACATGAAATCAACTTTCATTGGCCTAACTAAAGGGTATGTATTTGTAAGTGTGAATATTATTAATATATGAATATATACAATAGTTCGGGTATGTTAGTCTAAATGAGGTACAGGACAGGAATGACCCTCTTCCTTTAAAAATGTCTTAACCCTTCATCGAGGTCAGCCTTTCCTCATACGTCACATTGCGTTAAAAAGATAGACTTTAATACCTCCAACCAAGACAAGCACAGTCATGGAATTCCAAGCTTTCACAAAAAACAGAACAAATTAAAAATAACATTACCTACCTTCATCGCAAAATTCATACTTTCTTTCTATTACGTTGATTTTGAGAAGAAAAATTACTTTGAAATGTTGAATTTACGTTCAGTCATCAGCCCACATGTTTCAAGTTTTATGTGACCGCCAGTCCAAGTAAAGTTTATTTACGCCCTCTATCAGCTTTTATAAAATCTATTTCCAGAGGGCGCAATTTAGCTATTGCAATCAGATTTCAATTTTTCGCATACAGTGACAGTATTTGAGACAGGAATATTAACATATATTATACAGTATATATATACATTACAGTACATGCTTAAAAAAAACAAAAAAAAACGTGTGAAGTTTATTAGCTTGCTTTTTTTTGGATACATCACTTGTATGAGCAAACAAAATAGAAACACACTTTGTAAGCATATCTTGTCTTGTGTCTCATATTCAGCTATCAGTGTGATGTACTAAAGTCAGCCAACATCAGATTCCTTTTTTTCTGTAAAATTAATGATATTCCTTATAAGCCGAGTGCTCCTTGAATCTGCTCTTGTCAAATACCTCAAAAGATCTTGAATAACAAGTAATACAACTATTATTAAAATGCAGATGTTTCTTGCTTTGTATGATTTGGTTGTTCATACATTCTTGACCTATGACCAGACATAAGCAGTTGAAACTACAAGCTGGCATGGTTTATTTATTCTTGATGTAGTTTAGTTTGTGGATGTTTGATGTGATAAATACAAAATATAACACATGACCAGATATACAACATGAGTTTTTTAGTTTTTTTATTATCATATAATTTCCTATAACAGAAATGTTAATTATGAAGCACGTTTCATAACTAGTAATATCAGACATGGAAAATGATCTGAATCAAAGCGTCCTGTCAATCAATCAATCAACTGACTGGCCAATCATAAACAAGGCTTTATGTACAATTGAGGACGCGCAACTAATGATTATGTACAATCATTAAAACTGATGAATGACGGTGACAGTGCTAAAACTCAATATATCCATAAACTTCCATAAATGACAGCGACCAGCCTTACACCTCCACAAGTCACAAAGCTAACAAAACAACGTTTTAATTATTTAAATTAAAGATCGGCAAAGGGGAAATGATTAGATCTCAATGAAAAATTACCAACAAGCTTTCTGTTGTCAAAAGTCAGTATAAAATGGGCAGTTATGCTATTACTGGGCATTTGTAGGTGTAGCGATAGTAGCAATAGTAAGCATGACTCTGTAGTAATTTAAAATCTCATCAATAGTATTCATATTAATATTCATGTTGTCCATCATTATCATGTACTACATCACTGGAGTTTTACAAAAAAAAAGAAGAAAAATGTTCATGTTTATAAACAAGGACATATAATCCCCTCAACTAAGTTTTCTTAATATCAAATTAAAACATATATAAGATAAATCCAGCAATTCAATCCAAACAGACACTGAATAAAATGAACAGACAATTTTTCTATGAACATGATAACATAATGCAAATAACTTCTTCATTACTTGAGACTACCATACAAGGCTGTGGGCAATTATAATCAAAATTAATATTACTAAGACACGCCAAAAAAATCTATGTAGAATGGATACATAGTAAAACACAAGAATTAACATGAGACAAAAACCAGGTATATATGTGCATTTATTTACACATAAAATCTTAAAGGGGCATCTGTATGATGTAGATGTCATTTGTGAAGGGAAGGGGAAATTGACTAGGGATATTGAAGTTTTGTGCATTACTTACAATAATGTAAATAAACCAATATTTAAAAGCTTCTGCAAAAACCAATATTATTAGTTTTAATATTATTTCAAAGGGCAGTGCAATGGTGGTGAAAAAAGGGTACACAACTTGTCAAAAAATGGTTTCTTGTGTGCACACAAAGGGTAGAGATCCCAAAATAAACCCCTGTTTCAATAATGAAATTTCCCAATCTGGTTTGATCTACAACAAACCGCTAACTTGAAAAACACTTCAATATGTATTGAATGTAGAATAAACCATTGGAACAATCCAAAGGTTCCATCATACAAATCAAACCATGTTCAGTTTGGAATAAACCGTTTCAAAAAATAACTTTTTATACAAAACTGATGCAAGTAGTCATCAAACATCATGAATATAAACAAGCTTTTAAGGCAAAACAGCTGAAAATCTTAGCATTCCCAACGTCATGAACCGGCAAAAACAAGACGAATCTGCAAAAATACATCTCTAATATGTACACGGTAGTATATACAACAATTGTACATTAAGTTTGATAGTCTATTACAACATACATACATTCATTCATTGACTGCTAGTGATCGTAATATATTTATCAATTTAATTAGTTGTTTTTTTTTCTTATTTTTAAAAAGAAAATAATAATCCATGCGCAATTATAAATATCACCATGAATGTAATCATTGAAATTTGTCATAATCCATATTAAAAAAAATTGATTCCGATTTAAAATAACAAGCAGTTTTAAAATCTTCACCATCAATACAATTGACACTTAAAGATGAATCTTAAAACAAATAAAAACACCATATAATAATAATTCAATCGAAAATAAACTGATAAATTAAATGAAACACACAAAAAAAAAAAATTCTCCATGGTTTTCCTACTAAGAAAACATTATGGAAGTAAGTTAGAGCTATACAACTCAGAACTGCATGAATGTTAAAACCAGTAAAGCATAATTAATGTTCTGTACATGATCAGTTTATCATGTGCAGTTGGCTACATTAAACCAAACAGATTAAAAAATTATACTACATACACTGTATATCAATGTATATACGCAGAATACAACAATCACAAAATTATCACACACTTAGGGTAACAGATTCATCGACTTGTGTCTCAATTGTGGATTATCATCACACAGCGTGTGTTAAAAGCATGCACACTCTGGATTACCATCACATAGTAAGTGCTTACTGCACGCATACTACTTTGGATTTTCATCTTTCAGTACATGCTAAGACATGTACACTGCTTAAAGAGTACGCCATTCAAAACCAGCAACTCAGCAGATTTTTTCTCCTCTGATATAAACTTTTGTATTTTTCCAGAAATGTCTTAAGTAGGATTACAGATATTTTAAAAATGTTTTTTTTTTGGGTGTTTTTTTTTCATTTTTTTTTTTCCCGGTTTGGTTTGGCTAATAAATGTTATATTAAAGTAACTGATCAGGCTGCAAACAATGAATTCTATCATCGTTTGATATCTGTTTCTGTAAGCAAAGAATTTAGCTGTTCTTTAAATCTGTTCTAAACTGTTGCAATGCAGATGTGAATACAACACAGATTAAAGCAATTTAGTTTCTAATTACTTCATATTTCTATGCTTGTTACACTGTTTCAAATGATTAATCATTACAGTTAATGATGGTTATGATGGATTTGTGCCGTTGGGTTCTATCCAGCTGTTGTTAGTGCAAGCAACCCCTCTGCATGGCTCTTTCCACCAGATTCATCGCTATAAACATCACCAGTTTCAGATCGACTTGGTGGTTTACATCTTTACGTTGTTAGTACCGGTCATTGCTCTACTTTAAAGCTAGGCTGGTAGAAGATCAAAGTCTCTATCAACCAGAACTACAGGAACATGTGTTCGGTTGATGGTAGGGGGGTTCTTCATGTCCCATTGATGTGTGTCTTGCAGCCTAGTTTCCCATTCTAACTTCTGAATGGCGTACAAGGATGATGCTTCATGTTCATGCCTCCTCAAAAGTTCCTCCTAATTAAGTAAATGATAAAAAAATAGAAAAATAAAAACCAAATGCAGTGTAGAAATGTATAATAATTTACAAGTCATTTCCAGAAAAAAGAAATTTGTCACCATCTGACTTTGAACCCAAGACCCTCTGATTAAAATCCGGTTGCTCTACCACCTGAGATGTTAATTGAAATATTCCAATTAGGACAAAATTTTCTCAACGAATTGCATAACATGCAAATAATATACAAATCGTATGGAAAGTAAACATTTTGATTTAGATTATAAGGATGACAAATTTGAATTTTGTAAAAAAAGCTTAATAATAATGCATTTCAAGCCTTACATTAAGCATTTCTTACTAATTTTAGAGCATTTTGTCATAGTACGCTTTAATAGCATTCAATCTTTCAAAAGGCTGAATAACATGACACATTAAATGTTACTTTAAAGAGAAGATAAACGATGATCGTTTCTATCTGCCAGATGAAACATATCACATATAAAGCCATAGAAAGGGAGAAAGTGACAAAATACATCTACTTTAGGATGCATGGATTGAACTCATCAGCAAGATGAGCTCTAAGCCAGCTTCTATTTCAACTGGCATTGAAATTTAAGTAAATTGTAAAATATACAAGATCGCTTCAGAGATCAACTGAACTTTCTGTACAGTACCCCTAAGCTACAAATTTTATTTATTTGAGTCGGGAAAAACATTTTAAAAAAAGTCAGTCGCACCCTAACATGGATTTTACTGATGTAAAAATCTGCAAACTGGATGTATTATTTGTATTTCACAGCAAGTAGGTTTATAATTAACCTAAAAAGGAAAATGTATCACAATATACTTGCGAACATCAATTACAACTTTTTACTTTTTGATAGCTTCTTTTGCTTTTTAATAAACTAAAATGTATGATTATACTTAGGTTTTATTTTTGGATAGCATTTACAATTTTTCTTCAGGTCAAATACAAAAAGATATGCTCATTATGATAGGCTGTCAGCACATTAGAAGAATTTTCACACAAAACACACAGAAAAAAAATCTTCAATAAATCTAACCTCCATGGCAGGAATACTCATGTGTACAGACATATGACTGTATAAGTGAGTGGGGTGACAATATTTGCTAAATAGGTGTGGTTGGACTGGTGGCTGAAACTAATCATTTTTTACCATATTTATTTTTTGGCTCCAACTATAAGGTCAGGTTTTTAAAATCCTTCGGTGCAAGTACTTGGCATTGGCAAACGCTTCCTTCTTTTTACTTGGGAGTTTACATGGGTACCTGGTGGGCTGATGTGGCATTTATGGTATGGTATGCTATGTATGGTCGTATGACTAGGGAGCACTGAGAGTTGCACTTCGTATTGGCTTGCTAATGTACATTTATCCAATTACCAGCAGTAATAGTTTTCTTGTGCTTTTGATCATGATTTAGTTTGCAAATGGCGCCAATGGCGTAAATTCTAGATCTCATTAACATTATCCAAAAAAATGGTCTCGTTCTCCTCTTCTTTTTCTATTTCTGAAGAAATTGCTTTGATGGAAGTTTGTCATAATATTTGAGTATTCTAACATAGTGCTGAGGATCTTGGGGAATATCTCCCATGGGTTATGAGAAGTTTCTGCTTACAGCTACTTATTAATGATCCTATATTTTAGCTCACCTTGATTCGTTCATATTTAGCGTCAACATCTTGCAGCCATGAGATAAATTGCCTGCCGTTGAACCTCGCCCTGATACTGCTTTTGTTATCTTCTTGTGTCTGTATAAAAGTATCAACAATAAAAATATTATATGTCTAATTTGGAATTTATGTTCATTGTAATTATAATAGGTTTTGAAATTATAATGTGGTAAGACGCTCTTTGGCAGTATACATCGTATACAGAAGTAACAGTGTTTTTTTTTTTATATCTTCTGAAATTTCTGTTATCCACCTAATCAACCAAAATTCTTGAAAATTCAGGGTCAGATTATTTTTGGCAACAATATATAATCAAGGAGCCCAAAATACTAGTATAATGTTTGAAGAGGCCAATTTTCAAGCTTTATAATTAATAAACTTGATATCATAACTATAAATTTTACCAACCAAAATGTATGGGGTTAATTATAGTTGACACTAAATTCTAGAATAACACTTAGAGCAAATAAACATCACAATCACTTTGTTTTTGGCCTAGACTGGTAGACAACTGTTAAATAGACAAACATAAATCAAACTGACATTGGATGCTGAATAATAATAATGTTTTTTATTTCCATAAATTTCTCTGTTGACAAAGACTAGTAAAATAATTGTATAAAGAAAAATTGTTATAAAAAATAACAGTAACAATAACAACAATAATATAGACTGAAATTACTCATTTAATTTGCGTTTGCATAAACAATTATGCAGTGTGGAATTTTACATTGAATCAGAATGCAAATAATTTATTTGAGTTGAAACATGCGCCGACGTTTTGGCGAGACAATCTCGCTGGCTAAATGTTGCTAATGACTTACCACAGGGTCTGGCATATTGTAAATCTCTAGATCCTTTAGGAACGAGCATGCACTGTAAGGAATTGTCTGATTGGCTCCAGCTCGGGCTGCCCGGCCATGCACTCGGACAATGTCCTGTTCAACGGCTAGCATTAATTTTTCCTGTAACACAACAAAGGAAGGGAATATTAGAACATCTTTTAGAAGTACTATATGGATATGTGATTGCCAGGCAATTTGTAAAATGCAAATCCAATTTGCAAAATTACATACTCCATAATGCATTGAAACATTATTATGCTTTGGAAATGGTTGCCAAAGGAATGTAATGATGTTGCTGTAGGTAGTTGAAAACATGCAAATTAAGTATTAAATGTAGTTTATATATCAGCAAAAAATACTGTAGATGTTGCCAGATAAATAATAAAATTTCAAATCCAAATTAATAATACAAGATATAGTCAATTGTTGTAAGCAAACATTAAGATTTCATCTCAATATAAAACTAGTAACAGTAATATAAAGTATGTCCTTAATAAACTATTTTAGAAAAACAATGTAAAATTGAGACAAACACTACAAAGGAATTAAGAAGTAGGAAATTGAGATTCTTGATTTATTATGATCTAAAGCCAGATTGACAACATGTTTGCCACAAAGATGTTACAGATGAACTAGACGTTCTGGTTGAGATTGGGATATGTAAGTGGGGCGGTGAGGAAACATTCTTTCTGAAACATTCTGATTACTTTAGCATTCATATGCACCTTAACTTAAAATACACAGGACCAACGGTTTATCTTTCTTATTGAAAAATTATGAAATATAGGATCTTTGTATTTCGAACACATGGAGAGCAGAGTAGGAATTGAACCAAACAGCCAGTGACTCCATGGCAGATTGCAAACAGACAGTGACTACCACAAGCCAAGTAATCTCTGCTACTCTCAGTTGTGAATCTAACAGGATTATGGGAAGTCAAGCAAAGAAGGACTGCATCAGTGACTATTCCTGTCGCCAGCCTGTGGGATGAAATCAGCTGAGTGCCGAACAAACACTTGATTGATTTACAAATAATATCCAAATGGTGGAGACATCTAATTAAGGTCATTATACGCAGAAATCTCCATGACTACAACATCACTTTCCTAAAGAAATTGGCTGGAATTAGCAAAGGAGTGATGAGTGAAATATGGCAGAGAATCTTCATAGATTTAGGTTCATCACATGAAAAATGTATTGGAAATGATATGACCTACAGCTGTACATTATTCATATCTGAAGATAAAAATTATAATAAATATTTTTCCTAAAATCTTCTCTCATTATTTTTAAACTTGTATCATAATAGTTATATTTAAATATACTTATATAAATTTATATCATAATACAGTCATATTCAAATAATTAGAAATGTGCATGAGATATTTATTTTATAATTTTTAGTGATTGACATTTTGTCAACACCTCTGGCCTGCGTCATTTTGGCCGTGTTTTTGTTGTAATAAAATTAGCTTGTTTTGAAGCGAAAGTTTTGTGGTTTCAAAATGTTACTGGCAAGTCTGAATGGCATTGAACTTTTGGCTATTTTTGTGATACAAACTCCTTGTTGTCAGTAACTAGCATTTTTACTCTCTAGCTCTATGAAGTACAGTAAATTCCCTGGTTGCTTGAAACAAAACTTAGATTTTTCCATGGTGTTTGTAAACATATCATTTATGGATTGCCTGGTGTATATATAGCCATCGGCAACCAATCACCATGGCACAATCTGTTGATTGTCACCTGAGAACAAACCAAATATATCTGGTAGTAAAGAACACCAGTGTATGTACTCTACCTGGAAAAAACCTTAGTGACTAATTTACCATGAATATCTTGTTACAAGGCTGACAGTAGTGTACATTTACAATGCCAATGTTCTTTGCAATAACAGCATATTTCAATGTGGAATAACACAAAGAATATTGTACTTAGACTGTGTAAGCATTGCAGCTCCTTAGTGCTGCACTTATGCTGCTCTCTAATTTACTTACCCTTTCTATACAATGTCTTGTTCTTAACCTATGTCGCTCTTTTTCCTGTTCCATGAAGGTGACCTTTAGTGCATCATAGAGATCTTCAGGCGCACTTAACTATTTCAAAAAATAAAAATTCAAAATAAACATTATCAAAATAAATTTCATATTTAAAATATCTTAATGAAAAGTAAATAAATCAGTTACGGTCCAGTTACCAGTTAGTTATTAATCTGTGTCCACACTATCAAATTTTTGTGTGACAAATTTGATGATGTCATACTATGCTGTATACATACTATCACATTTTACGCGACAAATTTGTGTGATATGCTCATATATGCGTATGATGGTGTCACATTACACACAAATATGGACATATCAAATTTTTTTTTGTCACATAACATTTGATAGTGTAAACAGAGCTTTAAGCTCTGTCCAGACTACCAAATTTATTTGACAAAAACATGTGACATGCCTAAATATGGTCATGATGACATCTCATCATGACCATATATAGTCACATAATTACTATATATGGGCATACAACAGTTTTTTGTCAAAGAATGTTTGATAGTGCGGACAGAGCTTAGTCAGTTATCTGGATCATTTTTATCAATTTCCTCCTGACATGAGATGATCTTTCTTTCATATAATAAAATCCTATTGTTCATCTCCCGAATCAAATACCCAGTGAAAGTTTGTGGTTTATACTGGAGATTGTCAAACATCATATGCTGCTGTTTTGGAGCTGATGGTAACACTTTGTCATTGTCAAACTCACCTGCATCACACCTGTGCTAACATGCTATTATTATCTCACATGACATGTCATTTTATGGCACATCATCATATATAGCAAATTTAAAATCAAACTATAATTGGCTTAACAATTAACACAATTTTTAATTTTTGCTAAGCAATGGTACAAATGCTCAGCAGTGGTACTAATGCTGAGCAAATGGTACAAATGCTCAGCACTGGTATTCAATGATGTTCGTAATAAATGCTTACCTGTGGTACTACTGTATTAACCTTTGACTTTGGACTTGTCTGCAGCAGGTAAGATTTCCTGTGCATCAGATACTCATGATAAGCGCTTGGCGCCCTCAACTTTGGCTGTACTGAAAACAGCTGTGACTGACGGGCAGCAATCCTCTGCCTAATGTTCACAAACAACTTCATTGAATTCAAAAAGCGTTCATGTTGGGTAGGGTTGAGGGGCGGTGAGGGTATAATTGGTTCCTCCTGAATTGGTCTTGGTCGCGCAATTTTCCGTTTCCGTGGCAATGACTCAATCTGGTTTAACTCTTGCGCAGCATTGCTATCCTGCTGTTGACTCTTACGACTTCTTGTCATTGGCTGGTTCAATGTGGGTTCCTTATCAACGTTATTTGTTTCTACATTATTTATATGAACGGTATTGGATCGTAATGATCTTATAGGTTTGTGTGTTTTCTCTTCTGGTGCATCCTGTTTAGGAGAGGATGTCTCCTTACGATCTTTCCCCACTTTTTGATCATTGTCTTTTGCATTCTCATTATGACTAGATTCAACATCTGTGAGTGATATTCTTAATTCTGATTGGTCGCAAGGACCAGAGGTGTCCTCAGAATCTGTATTTTTACCCGACTCACCACTTGATGTAGAGTTTGTAGCATCTCTATGCTTAGCTGAGCCAGGCCCTCTTATCTTAAGTAATAAAGATTTGATCTCTCCAGCATCATTACTACTCGAAGTTGGAGAGGTCACGATGTAATATTCCCGTGTAGGCTGGGAGTCTGTAACCTGTTTGGGTTGTTTGACAGCTGATCCCTGTCTATCATCCACCTCCATGTTTACTTGTGGAATGTTTCCGGTGGATGTTTCTTCGCGTGTCCGTGTAGTCTCCTCTTTCTCCTTTTCCTTCTCTTTTACCTGACCACCTTTGTGGCTTGAATGCGAATGATCTTTATGTCGTTTCTTTTTGTGTTTGTCTTTATGCTTCTTGTGGTGATGTTTCGAGGAATTTGTGTTTAGCAGCTCTTTACTGCCACTACTTGCCACTGATGTTGGACTTGTGGAAGAGTCTCGTCGGTCTTGATCTGCGACTGGAGAGTTATGAGGTAATAATTCTCCAGTAATACTATCAGTTGATGTAAAATTCTCAGAGATTGCACACACATCAACTTGGTCACTGATTAATGTTTGTTTGTCATCTATACAAGATACATGTTTTTCAGATGTAACATGTGTAGTATTAAGTGCAAATTCATAATCAGTTTGGTGACTATTTGTAATTTCTAGCATACGTTCTGAATCAGCGTGGTCCGTATAAGATCTATGTTCTGGTAACTCATTCGTTAATGACATTCCTAAAGTGATATTTTCCTTGTTTTCTCCCCGAAGATCGCTCTTCAATTCCATCTCTGGCGACACAATCCGTGAGCTTGTCACACAAGACTCAGAACTGGACACTGCCAAATTTGAGGAACTACTGACTTGGGGTGTAATTAACAGAGGGTGCTCTTCAGAACTATTAGTCCTATTAGGTGAAGGGAAATCTTTACCTTGCTGAACTTTAGAATCACCTGCTTTGCATTGAATTGATGTTGTACTGTTCACAATTTGATTATTATCTCCCGATTTGTTTTCGCTAGCTGAATTAGAATCGTCCGATATCAATAAATTTGTCTCAGCTAAAAGTAAATCCGGTTTGATTTTGTGTGTCTCATTCACAGTTTTACAATCTTCCAAAGCTTTATTTGGTTCTTGCAACTTTTTATCATTCAAATTGTTTGCATTATTTGTTTCTACCTTTTGTTTCTGTTTGGTATCAATGCAAGTATTTAGATTCAAGCCTGGGTCAAAAAGGTCGCTGTCAGAGGATGAAGACAAAAGCGAATTGGGAGTATCGCGATCATTAACTTTGCTTAGGTCGCGAGGTATATCCAATATAATGTTATTCTTCGCCTGTTTTCTTGTGGTCCACTGTAATGTCACCTTATTTTCCGTAGACGTAGGCTTAACTGCTCTCTCTGCAAAAAAAAATAAATAAATAAAAATAAATTGTTTATATTCAGTAAAGTTAATGTTGGCATCTTCCCTAATTAATCGTTAATAAATAATCATGATGTACAATAGACAGTAGCTATAAGTGGTCGACAAAAGCCCTCAAACCAACTGTCTTTCATATACGGAGCAAAATAGCTTCTATGACGTTGGTAAAGACTGAGATAGAAAACAATAAAAAAACTCACATGAAACAATAATACGACATAATGATATGATGTATAAGTACATGCATGATTGTAATGCATGTATGCATGTATCTAAAATATGTATGTATGCAATTATACTAATACGTAAAATATGTCTGTTTCAGACTTTACTATGCGTCACAATAAAAATCAATTTGTTAAAGCACCAACACAATCAGTCTTTCGAATTACCCAGCAAGTGCTAAATACTATCCAAAAATAAATGTTCTCCATCAACAAATCTTGGATGTACTGGCAGCATTAGGTCCAAATACACTGTGCCAATTCATGTTTGCTTTCTTTTTTTGAGAGTCTAACATGATAAATGCATTTGGTCAATCAAACAGTACTCTCTATTCCTTAATTCTACTTCTTGGCTTCCTATTTGAAACTAACATTGTTAAAAGACTTCAGTGAAACAACCCTCTTCATCATACTTCATAAAGTACTTGCACGTGAGAATCCAACTGCCTTATCATTTCATTCAAGCACTGCCCTAAATCCTATTGATCTATCTACATCTCTGTTTTCTCTCTCTGTAGGTGGACCTGTTCACAACCACTCTGATATGGATCTGTTTTTCAACTGATTCTCCCGAGGATTTTTGTAAACAGAATCACAAAAGTTACTAAATCTTCTAGACTGACAATACCCAAAGTTCAAAATAAATTAACCGGTGACGTCTGATGTAATATATGAAGCATCCAAACAAGGATTAAAAACAATGAACAAGTTTGATTGCGATAAGGAAATGAATATATTCCACTAAAACGCAAGTGTTCGCGAGAAAGATTAAAATGAAATCTTTTGTTGATAACAGCAAAATTGAATCAAATGATATTCTGTTGGTTATGCGAGTCCCGACTTGGTTTTTACCTACCAATGTAAACACAAAAGGTTTGGGGTCTGGGGTATGTAGGATAGGCCTGTAGGACACCGGATTGGTCTCATACGCGAACAGTCTTTGTGCTTAATATGAAGAGGCACTATACATATTTCTCCAAAAAATGAGTTTACTATACATATTTCTCCAAAAAATAGTTTACTCTCTGTGCTAATAAAATCCAATATCTGTATTGCTTACAATTGAAAATAGAAAGAAGAGAATTGTTCTTGTAAATTTATTCAACATTATTTCACGTTACTCACATTATTAAACAGAAAGATAAATAATCACGTACCTACATTCTTGCCGTAAGCACTTGTAAATAAATGGTGATGAATTAAATTATTGTTTTAGTCCTCTTTAAAACATTCAATTTGGTAATTGTAATATAATATAAATATGACAAGTAAAGATTATTTTATTGTAATGTATGAGTCGATAAATCATCAAAACTGTAAAATTTTGATAACATATTTGTTAATTTACAATGAGCGATTCGATATGGTATGTGTATGAATTTTTGTTTAAAAATTTACCAGATTTTAAGGCAGAAAATAACTTTAAATGTCAAAAGAAATGAAAGTGTTGCCTCATTACCTGAAAGGATGCCATGCTGCCCCTTCACCTGTGGGTGTTCATCGTTCGATGCTAGACTCTCGGGCGATGTCGGTGAGCGAACCTCTGGCGTGGAAATATCACTTCCAGACTCGATAATTTCGTTTTTCAACAAGGCGATAATCTCTGGGATGTTCGCGATATCTAGGGGTGAAGATCCACGCCTGTTACGCTGTAATGGGTCGGCGCCATGCCTCAGCAACAGTTCAACAAGCTATAAAAAAAAACAAAAGTAGAACATTAAACATTAGTTAAGCACTTTGTTTCACTATAAATGAAACTGTCACAATTGCAATGTCAATGATAATAAAATTTATCTGTATCTGTAAATTAATTGTTTCTACAAAAATATGCATTATAAAAACAGCATATTTGTTACAGTAAATTTTCATTATTTCCTATTCATCTTAATTAACATTTGTAGTAAAAAAACGACAGAGCGAACATGAATAGAACGCAAGTACTGGAGAGAACAAAACGATTATCATATGAGATCTGAAATAAATATATATTACGACTTATAAATTTAAATTAGACAAGCTAGACGCAGAGATATGACAAATCACTTTGTTCAAATGGTAATATAATTGGTTAAAAATCCACTTATTTAAAAAGAATGGACATGTTAATAGACGGTATTCATCAATATAAAAAATACAAATATATCTATGGATATTCATTTTTGAATAATTAACATACTACATAAAAAATACAAATATATCTATGGATATTCATTTTTGAATAATTAACATACTACATAAATGAAAATAGAACTGGAATTTTTTAATTAGCTATTATAATTTGGAGTGTAGGAAACTTTTAGCTACATTTGGCTGCTGTCGCAATGCTGATCTATTTACAGTAGTACTATATCCCATATGTTCTAGTAGTGATTTGCAAGCAAATTCAACCTCTTTTATGGCAAATACATCTGTTCCCATTTTCAACCTGTCATGAACAACATTTTCAAGAAAGCCTGTGTGCCTAGCTTTTCCCTGGAGGCAACTTTCAACATTACTAGTAGTGATGATGGACATGCACCAAAGGTGACTTGTTCTCAATCTCATCTACATGTTTTTTTCACTCACTTTTTTTCCTTTAAAGGCCAAAAAACAAGAGAATATGTTTCTTGTCTGACAGGTATTTTTTCTAAGTTAACCTTTTTTCCCTTACATTAGCCATATTGTCATAATAAACGTAGTTAGATTATCTAGGCCGAGGTAAGGCCTATACACCCACGGACACTCATTGCGTAATAAAAGGATTACCATATTTCTACCAGATTTTTTAAGTGTGTCCCACGCAAACACAAAAAATAATATGGCAGGAGACAAGAAACTAGTTTTTTGTTTGAATTGGCCTAATGAACATCATAAATTAGAACAACTAGAGATACGCAACAGTATCCGTTGTATAATGATGAAAAACTACAGTATTAAATCCCACTATATTACATTACATTAATTTTATACAGACACAAGATCATTTTATCGAAATATATTTGATAACTGGAATCTGGCAACTAGTAATTTAATTACAATATGTCACCATCCCAGGACAGGCTCTTCATATTGTTACACTTGCATTATACAACCATGCAGTGTTTGCATTGAACATTTTAGTCAAGTCCATATTTTGTCTCAAAGGTTTATTTGTTCCTGGAAACCAGATCAGCATCTCAATAGGTCATTGATTTATTTAAAGATACTGGTGAAGGATGTGTTTCCTCTTGGGGGATGGTAGCTTAATGTATTCATTTACTTTTGATTACATTAATCTTTTTAAAACCATAGTACAGTTTAAACTGTAAATAATGGCAAAACAAAGATTACTCAAGGAAATTTGAAATAGTTAATACATTTATTATTTCATAAATTTTACGATCTGTAGCTGTTTCAGCAAAGCATCTTTAAGTTGGCAGTTTCCAGTGCTATATAAATATACAATACTGTATACATTAATAAAAGTTAACAGAAACATAGTTTGGTTTAATCTTAATCTAACAAGCAAGACTTATCACGAACACGATAGGTAATAGAGTGTAACTTGAATTATGATAATAAAACACAAGAACACACAATCCTTTTGTGCTAAAACTCTTTCATTGCTTCTTAAAAATGCAGCAACAAACACAAAACATTTTCTATTGTCTTAGATAATACGAGATTAAAAGATTATTAAGGATTATTTTGAAAAACTTGACTCATCATAATACTGCATAATCCACTTGCATTTTTAATCGCTTATCCATAAATATGACCTATTTCAAAACAAGGCTTATGAAAGAGACTCAACATTCTGCACTGGTAATATTAGTCATAGCGACTTTGATTGTTTCAGCACTTGCGATTCAGCCCACTAAATGCAACACTATTTGTGTAATGGTGTAATTTACAATACAATACCGGAACACTGGCCTCAAAAACAAAGTAAAGGTATTCTGAAAATAAATACTTTGACTTTTTTAGATTGTTTATGCAAGCGGTAATAATCAATTCCTTGCAACAAATGATATGACCTAGGTTGTGAGTTTTCTTCTTTCCACTTCATAGTCCTCTTTCACCCACTACAGGGCTTTCAATGGTTATTATCAAAGCTAACTGAATTGATATAATTCTGTGTATTAGATAAAAAAAACAAAAAAAAAACAGAATAGGTGAAGTGTTTATGCACAAAGATAAATACGTATTTTAAAAAAGCTTTCAATAGGCATTGAACAAGGAAAACTAAGTACATTTTGTAACTCTCAATTTATTCTATTAATAGCAGCAAGAAATAAGTTAATTTATGAGTATGAAGGAATGAAGAGATCTCCAAGTACTGTATACCCACACATGCATTGGACAATTAAAGACTAGCTATTTTTCACGGACTTCAACATTATGCATGCATCTAACAGCTTACCCTACGGAACTAGTAGGCAACTAGAACATTATGTTTAAACACCTAATCTAATATTATTATGTTAAACGTTAGCCAAGGAATGAAATCCTAGTCAAGCAATACTGTAGCTTAGAAGAAACTGGACAGTCAATATAATTTTGTGTAGTCTTCAGGGAAAACACATCATAGGAAATTTGTTGGTGATAAACAGTTGCATACAATTTTTGCAGGCAAAATTTAGCCTTGGATACGAGACAAAGAAAAGCGGAATGTTGAATCTTTCAGTCAATATGTAGCCTTAGAAACTAGATATATTAAGGCCTAGACACGATGCTTTAATTTCATATGCCCACACAGGAAATATGGACATGATACAATGCCCCATCCCCAGTTGAAACCACAGCCTAAAGAATCAATTGAATAAAAAAATAAGAAGAACAATATAGAATTAATATTAGTAAGTGATTTAATTAATCAAGCAGTCAATCAATCGATTAATCAAGATGTGCTGAAAATGCACTGTTTCCAAATCATATAGTATCCTAATAATGTTTTTCTGACAGTACAACCATGCAAATGCTTGAATATATCATTAATACTATTAGTATTTATTAAAATATTACTAATATTATATTAGTATATTTATAAGCTGATTATACAAAATGGATTACATTTATTTTTCTTTTGTATACTATATCATAGAATCTAAGAATAATGAAGTGTACTGTATATCAGCAAAATGCCAGCAATATTTTCACTTACTGGAAAAACAACTCTTTCCAGCTTCTTAAAACAACCAATGTGGGGTCACATAATAATCAGGTATATCCAAACAATGTAGCGACATTTCCATTGGAACATCATTTTAAAAACGCTGGCACGCAGCGTTTAATAAATGTTTTAAAATATAACATTACACTGCAAAAGGATGGACAATTTCCAGATTGGTGAAGCAATCACTATAGAAAATAGCTTCAATACAAATTATTAATATTCAGTTTTTATCAATTACGGTATTAAGACTGGCAGATTATGTGCAAAAAAATATTTAATATTCTAAAAATTACATAATGAAGAAAAAAAAATAAGAGGAAAGATTAATTTTAAAGATGGTTTTATTGTTTTTATCAATATCAACATAATAATGATATGGAAAAATTGTCATCTCCTGGTTTAATTGTTGGCCTAGATGCATGAAAAGTAAAATATATTCACTAAAATCAACAAATAACAAACAAATTCTCATTATGGTTTAATAATTAACATATAAAACCTGAGGTGTTGTATATTCCAAACAAAATTAAAATGCAGAGAAAATTCATGTTTCAATGGCAGAGGGGAAGAATATATACAAACCAGAACCAATTTTCTATTAGAACACTTTTAATAAATAGAACAATATCTGACATGTTTGCCATCATACATTTTAAAGATATGCTGGTGGTAGTTATATATTTTAAAATTATTTTATTTCTATAACTAACCAATTTCTAAATACTAACCTTTGAAGTTTATGGTCAGAGTTCTTATAGAATTCTTCAAAAATGAAAAGCTCAAAGTTGACAAGTTACTATTAAAGTGTTGAAGGAAACTATAAATTAGTAGTTTTTTAAAGGGTAACTGAGCTTTACTTGTGTACCTATTGTAGGTATGTAAACAATGCAGCTTTATTGTTCTTCTAAGCTAGAATGAATTAACCATGCTGACAGAATTTGTGGGGAGGAGAAAAATCTAGTCAATAATAAAACACTTCATATGAATAATTAAAAAAAAAATTCCTACAAAAAATTTTCAGACAGAACACTTCAAGATTGAACAGATAAAAAATGTTAAAGAAATCTATATTGTAATTACACCTTTGTAGAATTTTATTATTATCATTTTTGAATGAAATATAAATTGAACATTAACATTTGATGTGATTGCAATAAATGAAGCTTCATAACCATTTGCAATTCAACACCATTATTCTACATCATGATTTTACATTTTAAAATTGAATGTTCAAGTAATAAGAGGCAACATTTGCATATCTATTACATGTACCTGTCACAGAACTTCGAGTCATTATATGAATTTAAAGGTTCTTTGTCTGTAAATGCAACACTACAAATAAATAGACAATACATTAATGAAATGTAACAACTTGATATTGCCTGCAAATGAAACTCAACACTTATATCAAATACATTAAAATATATATAGCAGCATGGCTTCGCATGTAGAAAACCTAAAAAGAAACAACGATAAATAATATTGAATTTCCTGAAATAAATATATAATATATATCATTATTATCAAATCATTACAAGACATAATATTTGAAAACAA